AAATGGGACAAAACTCATTTAGAAACATAAATTTTGGGCTGAATTGTGGTCGTAAGTCAAGCACTATCTGTACTGTCCGTAGCTTGTTTGGTCTTCATTAAGAGGAAACTTCCTCTTTCTTTCTTTCTTTTTTCTTCATCCACAACTGACGTTTCCACAGAAATAGAAAGAATTTATGCAGTTCCTTTTGAAGGTTGACCTTTCCCCAGCTCTCTCTTAACTGGAAGATTGGGTAGATTATATGGATGGATGGATGGGTGGGTGGGTGGGTGGGTGGATAGGTAGGTAGGCAGGCAGGTAGGTAGGTAGGTAGGTAGGTAGGTAGGTAGGTAGGTAGGTAGGTAGGTAGATAGTTAGATAGATAGATAGATAGATAGATAGATAGATAGATAGATAGATAGATAGATAGATAGATAGATAGATAGATAGATAGATAATACATACATACCAATAAGGCAGATATAGATCACCAATAAAACACTGGGGTGGGGGATGTAATTTTCAAAAGACAGAAAACTGATACTAAACGAAGGTGTAGTTTGGGGAGACACAACACACACACATACACACACACACATCATCTCAAAGATGAGCACTAAATTTTAAATGTCCATATATTTATTTCATTCATTTAATTTACTAATACACTGTTGTAACTGAATGCAAACTTTTCAAAGATAGAACCTAAATTTTAATCATTCAGACTTCACCCTTTATAGTCCTTTGTGCTTTCTGAGTTTCCACGCAGATGTTTCATTAGATCTTCGATGCTTCTGAAGGTGTTACCTACTCCGGCAATGGAATGACTGCATCAAAACAACCAAGCTCAGAGAGCACCAAAGACTCTACAGTTCAAAGACTCTGAGCTACAGAGATTCTCTTCCACTCACCTTTTTAGTTTTCAAAATATGCCATCTAATTTTCTATTTTTTTTTTTAAGTTATTTAAATGCTATTTAAAATGCATATGCATGAAATGCATAGATTCATGAAAATGATGTCAATAACATCTTGGAACATTTCTGCTGTCCCTTAACTTGTAATCCAACGAGTGATTTTCAAGCAAGGACGGTACCAGATGACTCTCTTAATTGAGCTGACTTCCATGCAAAATGATCCGTTGGTTGTTTGATTTGGTAAAGTTGATCTACAGCCATGGAGCCACTCAAATCACCTGTTGCGAAAACAGAATTTGACCATAATTACTTAAGACATTTTGCTTTAAAACCTCAGACAATATCTGCTGACAGTGGAATTATATTTTTTTTTCCTTTTGGCCTCCTCAGAATGCCTGTGTGAGCAAATTAAGACGGCCTGGACTCCGTGCTAAGGTACCATATATAATGTAGCCAAGCACAACTAATTGTAACAATATTTGTCAAAGTATTCCCCTGAATTAACCCATTCGCCCTTTTTTTTCTAACAGATCTATCACGTGTTCTTACTCTAATTTATTCACTAGCAAAATACCGAAACCATGAAATAAATTTTTCAACCATTGTCCAGCCTTAGCTTTTCCCTTTTTTTAAAGCTGGAAAATGAACCTTCCAATCTAAAACTTACTTGAACATTTTCGGGCTTCTTTAATTGGTTTCCTTTGTAGATTGTCGATTATTTTTATTTGGAATTCAAGATAAATGAGACAGCCGTATGACTGTTACACAGTGTGTAATACCCATACTCAAAAAATATGAAAAGGCCAGAAGCCAGAAGATCATAATCTAACAGTTTATGCAGAGTTTGAAACACTAAACTCTTGCTGGATTTATTCAACAAGAGAATAAAAGTGAAATGTTACTCAGCCTTCCTCATAAATAACTTCTAAGGTCTTCGGTAGACTTTTTCCCCACAGAATTGCAATAAAAAAGGACCCTACCCTGAAAAGAACCATTAGTCTACGTATTTAGTTGTATCATAAAAAGCAATAGAAGTAAAATTAAGTGGTGTTCACTTGCTTTTCTTATTTTCTGCTTTCTTTTTTCTTGCTAGCACTCTTAAACATCTATTTTAAAAAATAAAAAGCAGTACTTTAATTGGGAGATGACTATTCATATCTGCTATTTGCACTGCTGTTTAACAGATTTACTAGAAAGGCATTATTGATATGTAATATTCATATTCTCAGAAGTAACATTCAAATCCAGGCCAGACTATTCTCTGGTTCAACCCCATCCAAGCTGCAAATTCTGTAGTTCATTATGTCCTCAGTCTCAGTCCTCAGACTTGCCATCTGTACTATTCAATATGCAAAATGAAATCTCCAGGATCGGATCAAAGACCGCGTGAATAAACAGATAGATTTAGTTGAGGTTTAGCTATTCACCCTGGTGAATTAAGTCACCCTGGTGATTTAAACAGAATGGAGTCATTGCAAGAGGACCATGTAGTAAATCTCCTCTTACAACTACTACCATGTTTTCCCCAAAATAAGACATCCCCTGATAATGAGCCCAATCGGGCTTTTGAGCTCATGGCAATAAGGCCAAGCGCTTATTTCAGGGTTCACAAAAATATAAGACAGAGTCTTATTTTGGGGGAAACACGGTAGTATGTGCCTGTCTTGTCAGAACGTCAAGGAGATTCGCATTTGTTCAAGGAACTTGAAATAATGTGAACAGGGAACAGTCACGATCTGGATGAAGGCAAATCTACGTGTCCCACGATAACATCGCAAGGTCCAATCTGGGTCGGTCACAGAGACCAGAGGTTTTGTCTTCCGAGCTTTCGGACTCACGCTGGAGCCAATCGTCAGGGAATTTCTCTCTAGCCTAGTCATGATCCATTTAGAATGACAGAATAATAGAACAACAGTTTTGGAAGGTACCTTGGAGAGGCCTTCTAGTCCAACACCCCACTCAAGCAGGAGACACTATACCATTCCAGACAAGTGGTTGTCCAGGGTCTTCTTAAAAGCCTCCAGTGATGGAGCACACAATTTTCATGTACTAGCTTCTTAAAGTAGTATAACAGAAAACCTCTACTCCTTTAATGGGACAGATTATGATTGTCTATGGGGCATGACCAACATCTGAAATGCTTCTCAATGACCCATGAAATTCAGCCAACTCATCTGAGCTAACCAATGACACTCCTTGCCATGTGTCACCCCTCCCCCCTCCCCCCCCCCCCAAATGAAATCCAAAAGGCAGAAAGCAGGAAGGAACTAGCAATCCAGTAGCACAGGGTGGGCTTTTTTGAAAAGTGTGGTTGTTTGTACAGTCCACCCCTGCCTCCAGCACACAAATGGAACATTCGTTCAATGAGGGTACCAGAAGAGCTCCGCTGGATTAGCTGAGTCTCTAGGGCAGTGGTTCTCAACCTTCCTAATGCCGCGACCCTTTAATACAGTTCCTCATGTTGTGGTGACCCCCAGCCATAAAATTATTCCTAAGACCATTGAAAATATATGTTTTCCGATGGTCTTAGGCGACCCCTGTGAAAGGGTCATTCGACCCCCCAAAGGGGTCGCGACCCACAGGTTGAGAACCACTGCTCTAGAGGTTTCCAGGAAAGCCATAAACCTACCACTTCCTGACACAGCTGCCCTTTAAGGCAGGCTGCTATCAATTCCACACTTCTGGTGACTTTCTCAGGTTTCCCTTTAGAAAGCTATTCAAACTGGGGTCCTCACCTCCTTTCAGTTAGCAAATTCAAGCTGAATTTTGAGCCAGGACACAACTTATCCCAGATCAGCCAGCCTCTCTTTTCAGCCATGACCTCAGGACAATTCCCTTCCTTCCCTCTTCCCCAACCCGGAAAGCCCTCCGGTGACTTTTAGCTATTCCGGGTTTAAAGTAGGGTCTCCTGGGATCCTGGAGGTATCTAAAATCAGTTAGGCCTTCTCTCTCCTTGGCTTGGAGAGACCTCAAGGGACTGGGAAGAGAACCAGGAGAGGAGAGACATCCGCATAGCAGCAGAATCCAAGTGGACATCAGGAGGAATTTCCCATGAGAACACGAGGACAATCAGTGAGAACTGATCCCTCACTGAGACAGTGAGAACAATCAATCAATGGAACTATTCTGTCAGAGTTGAAGAAGCTTCTTGGATGAGAAACGAAACGTCTTCAAAAGGAAAAACCAGAAAGTCCAGTTGCCTCCTGAAAAAGCACCTTTGGGACAACCATGGATGACGGAGAATCTCTACAGTCTCCACAGAACAGCCTCTTCTCCCAGAGTTGTGGCTGCTGCATCGCTGGAGGTTTTCAAGAAGAGACCGGACAACTATTTGACCAGGATGGTACAAGGCTCCTGCCTTGAAAAGGGGGTTGGACTGGAAGACCTCCAAGCTCCCTTCCAGCCCTAGGATTCTATGTATGCCAGTTCACAGCTGGATGCGAAGCACTTCAACTCAGCCAGCAGCGGAAGGAGACATTTTGTTTCTTTAAAGGAGAATATTTGTAGCTCAGGGCTGACATGAGGGGTCCTGGGGGGTCTTGGAGCCTGGTGGTTTTCTGGCAGACGTTTCATGATCCAAAGTAGGTAGCATCATCAGTGCTCGTTCCGTAGTTTCGGTCATGAGAAGGTCTGCAAGGAAACCACCAGGCTCCAAGACCCCCCAGGACCCCTCACCCTTGGCTTTAGAGAAAGAGCTCCTTCCTTTCATGGGGTCCTTCCCCAGCCTCCTGCGCTCTCAGGCTGCCAGCCCTCCTAGACTGGGAAGGGGGGAACTGGGCCGAGGGACTTCCGTCTCCATCTTACACCTTTCCAGACTGCCCGGCTTTCTCAAGCCCAGCCGTGTCCCGCCAGCCGGCTCAGCCCAGCCGCTCCAGACTCCAGGTGCGGCCTCGCCCGCCCGCTGGCCCCCGGGGGCTCCTTGGAGGCAGCCATTGGCTCCGAGTCCTCCATGTGTTAAATTAGCCGAATGAGAGGCAGCCGGGCCAGCGACCGCTCGGGAGGGGGGCTTCGTTCTGCGTCATCGAAGGGGGGGAGGAGGAGGGGAGCCAGCGCGCGTGGGGAGGGACGGAGGGGAAAAGGAGAAGAGCCCGCAACTTTCCCCCGCGCCGATGGCAGCGAGAGGCAGCTTTTCCCCAGCCGCGCAGGCTGCGCCTCGGGGCGCTCCGTCCAAGCCAGCCTGAGCGATGCTGCGGACAGGAGGATCCCGGCCAGCCGCGCTCCTCTGAACCGACCCGGCAAGGCAAGAGAGGCGGGCTGGCCAACCTCGCGCCGCCGGGCCGATTGACGGGCAGCCCCCCTCGCTTGCCCTCGCCCGCCGGCTAGCGGAGCCCCAGCGGAGAGAGCGAGGCTCAGGGCGGCCGAGAAGGCGATCCAGCGGCAGCCCGCCACGCACGCCGGAGCCGAGCCGGGACAGACGGAGCGGGCCCCGACCTCCACCTGGCGCCGAGAAGGCAGGCAGGCAGGCAGGCGGGGAGGGAAGCGCCCTACGGGAGCGCAGTGGGCCCGCACCCGAAGCGCGGCGACGGAGGGGCGGCGCAGCGCTTCTGCACAGCCCGAGAAAGGCGGCGAGAGGTGCGGGCGGCGCGGGCTGGACGGCCGGGCAAGCGGCACCGAGAAGCTCGCGCGCCCGCCCTCCATGCCCCTCTAGCGTCCCTGGCCCGGCAGTCGCAGGCGGCAGGATGCAGGAGGCGGCCGGCGGCTCGGCGGGTGCCCGCCGGGCGGTGGAGCAGCTGTCGGAGGCGGTGGGGCTGCGGGCCAAGGCTCTGGGCAGCGCCCTGCAGGAGGCTCACCGCCAGCGGCGCCTCCTGCTGGCCATCGTCTGCGTGGCGCTGCTGCTGGACAACATGCTCTACATGGTCATCGTGCCCATCATCCCGCACTACCTGGCCACCATGGGCGGCGGGGAGGCGCCGTCGGCGCGGCAGAGCCCGGCCGGCAACGTCAGCGGCGCCGGCAACGCCACCCAGAGCCCGGGGCTGCTGCCGCCGCCGCCGCCGCCGCCCGACAACCGGGACCTGAAGATCGGCGTGCTCTTCGCCTCCAAGGCGCTCCTGCAGCTGCTGGTCAACCCGCTGACCGGCACCTTCATCGACCGCGTGGGCTACGTCCTGCCGCTGCTGATCGGGCTGCTGGTCATGTTCCTCTCCACGCTCATCTTCGCCTTCGCCGAGAACTACGCCACGCTCTTCGTGGCGCGCAGCCTGCAGGGGCTGGGCTCGGCCTTCGCCGACACCTCCGGGGTGGCCCTCATCGCGGACAAGTACCCGGAGGAGTCGGAGCGCACGCGCGCCCTGGGCCTGGCGCTGGCCTTCATCTCCTTCGGCAGCCTGGTGGCGCCTCCCTTCGGCGGCATCCTCTACCGGTTCGCCCGCAAGCAGACGCCCTTCCTGGTGCTGGCCTTCGTCTCCCTCCTGGACGCCCTGCTGCTGCTGGTGGCCCTCAAGCCCTTCGCCCGCAGGGCCCGGGAGAACATGCCGGTGGGCACCCCCATCCACCGGCTCATGCTCGACCCCTACATCGCGGTGGTGGCCGGGGCCCTCACCACCTGCAACGTGCCCCTGGCCTTCCTGGAGCCCACCATCGCCGTCTGGATGAACAGCACCATGAAGGCCAGCGAGTGGGAGATGGGGCTGGCGTGGCTGCCGGCCTTCTTCCCCCACATCCTGGGCGTCTTCGTCACCATCAAACTGGCGGACAAGTATCCCCACCTGCAGTGGTTTTACGGGGCGCTGGGCATGGTCATCATCGGGGCCAGCTCCTGCGTGGTGCCTGCTTGCCGGAACTTCGGACAACTGATGGTTCCCTTGTGTGGCATCTGCTTCGGCATTGCCCTGGTGGACACGGCCCTTCTGCCCACCCTCGCCTTCTTGGTCGATGTGCGCCATGTGTCCGTCTACGGCAGCGTCTATGCCATCGCCGACATCTCCTATTCCGTGGCCTACGCCCTGGGGCCCATCGTGGCCGGAGAGATTGTCCACTCTTTTGGCTTCACCCAACTCAGCTTGGGCATGGGCCTGGTCAATGTCCTCTATTCCCCGGTCCTGCTGGCTCTCAAAAACATTTGCCAGATGAAGCCCTCCCACTCGGAGAGGAACATCCTTCTTGACGAGGAGCCCAAAGGACTCTATGATACCATCAAGATGGAAGAACGCAAAGCCAAGGGTAGAAACCTCCACCCGGTGGGGGATTTTGAAGAGAATAGTGTAGATCCTTATCAAAGAGACTTTAAAGGGGCTTTTGAGGATGATTCCTCAGACTACGACTATACTTAGGGCTTGGTAGAGTTGGAAGAGGGACAGTGTCTCAGCTATTGTCTCCATATCTCCTATGTGCTACACATTAACCTTTCTCTAAATACGACAGTCTTCTTCCTCTCTCTCCCTCTCTCTCTGTCTCTGTCTCTGTCTCTCTCTCTCTGTCTCTCCCCCCCCCATCTCCGTCTCAAGTTAGGACTTAAACCAGTCTATTGAGATTAAAACTGTCTATCCCCAAATAGCATAATTGCATAGATGTATTGGTCCTTTCTTGTTACAAGAAATGTAGACCTCCCATGCTTTCTGCGGTTCTGCCAAAGGTTTGGGGGCAGCAGTGTTGTGTGTGACTTAAGACTGGTTCACACGTGCATGTATGTATCCTTTGATGCATCGGTTTGGTTGGTTTCATTTTTCTTTGTTTTTATTCCCAGTTCCAAAGCCACACTTTATCTATACTTGATTAAAATATAGTTAAGGCGGAAGCCACGAGTTGCACATGCCCTGTTCCTCCCATGTCTGCTGTGCATGTGTGACATGATCTGAGTGTTCTGTCTGGGACATTAGATCTGGGCATCTTCTCACTCGAGATATTGCAGTTATGCCTGTGTGAACCAGCTTCACCTTTACCAGATGCTTCAAAAATACACATCCAGGGTCTCCGTAAATATTGTACATTTATAGACAGATCTCTACCTGGAATTTTTCCATCGGATTCACGTCTTAATGCCAGCAGTGGAAATTATGTTATGTTATTTTTTTCCTCCTGGAGGAGAAAAAAACAAGACAAAATGGTAACCTCTTTTTTATTTTTATTTATTTATTTATTCATTTATTTATTTCCTATTGTGCTGCTACTCGTCAATGAAATATGCCATACTATGTTTTAGACTGAAACTGTTACATTCATATGGGTGTGAATAAATAACGTTCCAGGGAATATTTGTCTTGGTTTTATTGTGTGCACGTTAAGATGAATCCTAAATACACAAAGAAAATATACAGATGAAAGTCAAATCTGAGTATCTACCCAGAAGTCATCCCTCTACCTACTGTATACGCTGAGTATTTTCCCGGAAAACTGTGTAAGATCAACAATTTCAGTCTATTTTGATCACTCAACAACTTAATGTTTAAGTTTTTAAAAATCTATAACTTCCAGTTGCAAATAACAGGCAGGTAGCTTCTTAGCACTTTTATGTCCATTCCTAGGGGGGTGCGGGATCAGCATTTTGGGATATCCAGCTAGTTAATGAATTATTTCTGAAACAACAGATACAATAATGTAATCCTTCCCAGAAAAAAAAGCTACAAAAGGGACACACGCACGCACGCGCACACACACACCAATAAAAGATAATTTAAAAAAAAAAATCCACTGTCATTAATAAACAAATCCCAAGCATGAAATCTGCTCTTCTTACAAATATTTTAACTGAGTTGGCTCATCCTGGCTTAGTTTTTATTTTGGTTTGGAATGAGTCTCTCTTAAGATCAGCTCCGTTTGGGGTTTTCTATTTATTCATTTGTTTGTTTATTTGTTTTAATCATGATTGGAAGGCAGTAGAATTTTTCAAGAATTGTTTCTAATAGGTCGCTGCCACACCCCGTTAGACAGATTCAGTTACGTTCACAAACTATGTGTAGAATGCAGGTCTGTAATTTCTCTCGTTTATTTCCCCAAAGTTTAGACAGCTACTTATTAGATGGAAGCTTTAGTTACTTCTGGGTAACTTCCTGTAGGATCCTTGATATACGGTGAGTATTTTATCATCCCTTTAGGATCCCGCGCTTTGTGCTTTGTGCTATTTGTGTAGGATGGTTGCAAACCGTCCTCTGATTTCCAGGCTAACCAAAGGCCTCCCCGATCTATTTTCTTCCCCAAAGCCCCGTCCTTCCATCAACCTGCTCGACTGCACCGCGTGGCCTGTCCATTTCATGCTACTCCCCAAGGGCTGCGCAAAACGCCTTGCTTGCTTTTTCACACTTTCATCCCTTTTTCGCACGACAGACTATGCGTGGCCACGTCCTGATTCGCCTCCCCCCCCCAAGCAAGTTTGGGGGGCCTCGAGTTCTATCAGCCCGAAGCTGTGGATTTTAGGGGACCGTGATCCAGGATTTCTTAACTTCCCCACAGTTGTCTGTCTCTGACCGGAGAGTTTCCAAGACCGTTTCTGGTTTATTTATTTTTCCTTCTTCTTTTTAATCTTCTCCGTTTCACGGAGGGCCTCAGAGAAGAGGGAGCAGGCTCCCATCCGTCGCAGCGAGCGGGTTCAAGATCGCCCAGCTGCCCACCTGCCTGAAGGACCTCAGCCGGGCTTCTCCCCGCGGGACTCTGCAGGGCTGACCCCCCCGCATTTCTGGACATTATTTTCGCCCGCTTTGATCTCAGAGCTTCGAGCGTTTTCTTTTCCTCCGCAGCTTGGCTGTGTCTCCTCGGAGGTAAAAGCCAGTCGGTGAAATCCGCGAAATCCTCCGAAGTAGCCCCGGATTTCGTTTACAGACCTCGCTGGTTCAAGCCCAGGAAATTGGAAAACTTCGTCTCCGATCGTATCTCGTCCTATTCTGGTTTCTCCCACCTGCCATCCCGGTGAGGCGAACGGGTCTAACCAGGTGTTGGGGCTGCACTTCGCTTTTCTTTCTTTTTTAAATTGACTTTGCCATTAAATTCGAAGGGTGACGAATTGCAACACAACTGGAAAAGTAGGCGTGTTATTTCATTGAAGAGATGTCTTCTGAATATTCTGCCCAAAAAAAGGAGGGAGGGAGGGAGAAATGAAAGAAAGAAAGAAGGAGGGAGGGAGGGAGGGGGAGGGAGGGAAGGAAGGAAGGAAGGAAGGAAGGAAGGAAGGAAGGAAGGAAGGAAAAGAAAATGGGAAGGAGGAAAACTGGAAGAAAGGGAGGGAGGGAGGGAGGAGTGTTGGGGAGAGAAAGAGAGAGAGAGCGCGGTGGAAGGGAAGATGGAAGATGGACGAAAGGAAGGGAAAGAAACAGAAAAGAAAAAATGGCAAGGAAGAGAACTAAGTTTATTCTTCATTGTTCTAATTTTCCACTTCAATCCACACTGCTGTGCTTATCCCCCCTTAGTCAGAAGTGCGTCCTGTGCAAATCCACCAGACTGCAACCAAAGAATCGTGCCTGGAGGAGCCTGGCCCAAGGGATCCAGCAGCCCAGATGTTTTGGGCAAATGCCTTCGCCGCCTTTCCTACCCTGGTTCTGATCTCCTTATAAAATGGCAGCCGACTTCTTCCTTATGGAAGGGAGAGTAAGACGCTTCCGGATGCAAGATTCTTGGCAGCCAGGAGAGGAGAGGAAAGAAATGCTTGTGGGCTGATATAGGAAGGCTGGAGAGATGGGTTGAAGGAATAGGGTGGCAGAGGCAGGAATGACTGCTGCCATCTTGAAATTGACTTGGGCATTAGTCAAGAGAACAAGCAAGGCTTATTCGTTCAACATCCAGGTCCTGAAAAGGCCCACCTGAAAACCATGGATTGCAAATCCAAGAACTAGTTCTGTTTGAGAAAAATTGGGAGCAGTCTGGGGGCAGCTTTGCAGATCAACAAACTTCCTCCCATCGTGACACACACACACACACACACACACACACACACACACACACACACATGCCTGGTGCAGACTGCAGGGCTAATTTTTCTCCCTACATAAAGTGGGACCCGTTTTGATTCCTGTTGAGGAAGCAGAAATTAAAAAAACCTTGAAGGATCACCCCAGTCAACAAAGATTCTTTTAACAGGCATTGTTCTGAATGGCCTATTATAACAGGGCCAAAGGACCTTCCTCCCTCCCTCCCTCCCTCCCTTCCTTCTTCCAAACAGGTCACTTTTTCTTGTTTTCTTAAACTACTGGATTGTGGATGGACTTGAAGATTCAGTTGCTGCATTCACACGACCCCTTCACTGGGTCATTTATGAACCGAAAAACCTGGGCCTCATTCGCACAACCAGCTAAGCTTAGTGAGTTTGATACAGGTAAACAGGTGAATGGTGTTGTGGGAAGGTTTCTTTTCCCTCCTCTGCCCTCCCTTCCCCAGTTGTTCATTAGAGAATCCTCGACTATTTAGAAGTCCCTCCTGTCCCTCACACCTAAGTGACTCTGCACCTTGAGCTTTGCAAAGGAAGGTTGTTCCTGCGAGGAAAGACACACAGGCCCTGTCTCCTCTGCATCAAAGCAGGGAGGCAACTCCCATGATCTGACCGGCCTCCTTTTCACCTGAGAGTTTAATCTACACCTCCCTCCTTATTAATCCAGCAAAGTCTTAGCCTGGCCAAAAAATGAAAGTGGGGTCTTTACCAGCAACCCCCCCCCCTTTGAGAAAGGAGTACGGACTAGAGGTGTGTCTTTGGGGTGTGGGAAGGTGGGGTCATCCCCTCCTGGAGCGGGGAGGGAAAAAGCCCACCCTATCATTGGTCTGGAGAGGTTGACCCCCCCAACCCAAGGGACAATGAGCCTCGGGTCAGCCGGGCGCTAATGAAGGCTGGCTGGAGGGGCCAATCTAGAAGATTCCATTCAGGTGCCCACTCTCTTGACTGACCCAAGCAAAGGCTGGCACACCTTCTGATTGGTAGAGACCACCAAGGACTTTGAAATGTAGGTACGGCACAGGAAGGTGGAAGGAAAAAGAGGCGAGACCGGGGCTGTTCATCTGAGAGGACCCCTCCAGCCTCTCCCCCGCTGGCTTCCTCCCCTTCAAGCGACTTAACCTATAACCTCCAAATGGCGCTGGCGGGAGTTGTAGTCCAGCCACACCTTCGGAGAGCGCCAGGTTGAAGATGGGCCGCCCTGCCATCTCCTTCTCCCGCACCACCAAAGACACGGCACACTTCAAGCTGCCGCCCGGAGCCTCCCTTACCGCGGAGTAAATTCCAGGGTCGGGAGGGGGGCTTGTTTTTGAGGAGCCCACGCAACGACTCGCTTCGCCGGACAGGTTTCGCTTCTCCCGGCTTCCTTCCAAGAGCCCAACGGTAGGAGAGCGCGGAGCGCCTGGGGGGACTCCTGCCCGCTTTTGCCAAGTTGGTCGCCGGGTGGAAAGAGCGATGCCCGGGCGGCGCGCCCCTCCTTTAGCCGGGACGGCCGAGCCCCCTTTCCCTGCCTGCCTGGCCAAGAAGTTTGGGGAGTTGCGGAGCCGCCGAGGTTGCGCTCTGGCGCGGTGAAGAGCCGGTCCGTGAAAGGGAGGCGGGCAGACGAAAGGAGACCCTTCTCCGCCCGGCCTCTGCCTTTGCCGGCTCTACCTCCTCGCCCGTACCGGGCTGACGAAGAGGAAGGCGCAGAACGGGAGCCCGGCAGCCGAGGGAGGCAGCGGAGCTCCGGCGGATGCACCATGGACAGCGCCGCTTGAACGGCTTCTTCCCTGGGCGAAGCGTCTGCGCCGGCTCCACGGGGGCGCCACTTCCAGGTAAGAGCCCGCCCGGCCAGCTCCCCCGGCCCGGGAAAGAGTCGGCGGCTCCGTCCGCGCCGCCCGCGAAGAAGCCGGTTTCAGCCTCCCGTTTGCTTAGAGGGCGCTTTGGGCACCGGGATGCAGTTCTGCTTGTGGCAAGCAGCCAGCCGCCTTGGATCCGATGAGGAGTGCAGGTGCTTGGGAGGAGCCAGAAGTCGAGTTAATTCGGTTGTGGGAACACAGAGCGCAACCCCTGAGGAGGGGCTGTTTGGAAAAGCTGGCTAGGCGGCCTTTTCTCTCCGTCGGTCAGAGTGGGGGGGGGGCATTTCCAGAGGGAAGCCTTGGGGGGCTTTGGAGGCGTTTTGTCTGGTCTTGGTAGCGCTCTTTTAGTTCCCTAAGAGCCGAAGAGGAAGGGGGGCTTGGACGGCCGGTCTGGAGGCTCCTAAGGAGGAAAGAGCAGGGCCACAGCAAGCGCCGGGGGACGCGGGGGAAGGGGCTCGCTGCGCCCGCTGCGTGGCGGCCCTTGAAACTTCGGGAGGGAACCGGCTGCGAGACCGGGAGGCGGCTTTTGGCCAAGCCGGCCCGATGGGGGGCTTTTCCCTTCTTCCGGCCTGTGGGGTTTGGAACCCGCTCGGCTGCTGGTCGGGCAAGTCCAAAGCTTCCAGCTGAGCGTGGGAGCGCTTCGTTCTCTCTTCCCCGCCTAAAAGGGCCGCGCTTGTGAGGGGGGGGGATCTGACTCAAGAGCCGCGCTTGCGGAGACCAGGAGGCGGAAACCGGGAGCGAACCCTGAAATAGTTTCGGATGGGCAATGGCCTCCGGCGCTTCCACTGTCGAATAAAGGGGGCCGGTGAGCGTGGCAGGGGCAGGGTGGCTGCGCCGCGCTCTCTGAAGCTCACCTTTTCCCGGAAAGTACCGCTCAAGGCAGCGTCTGTCAGCTAACGCTTCACCTTAAGACCAGCGGTGGGATTCAGCCGGAGCGCACCGCTTTGCTACCACCGGTGGCCAATTCCCGGGCAGAGGTGGAACGCCGCCGCGTTTAAGTGCCGGTGGGCCTGGGCGGCTGCTGGAAAGGGACGGGCCCGTTTCAGCGCCTGGCTTCCCACACGCGCTTCTTCACCTACTTGACTTCCAGGTCCGTCGCGTTTCTCGCCGCCGGGTGCAGGCAAAGGAAAGTTTGTGGGACAAAATAAATAAATAAATAAAGTTCAATTAATCAATTCCAACTTGTGGGGGAGGGGAGGGGGATCTCGCGAAGTTGGAACTGATCGATTGCGCTTTTTCTTTTTTTAGTCCCAAAACTTTTCTTTCCCTACACACAGGGCGAGAAACACGACGGAGCTGGAAATCAGGTAGGCAAAGAAATGCTTGGGGGAAGCGGGGGCATCTGGGCGCTGGGTGCGAGGGAAGGGGGGGGCCACTTTCCCAGCTCCTCCTCCTTCCCTCCGTTGCCCGTTTCTCCATTGCAGCGCAGCGCCCGCGATCCACTTTGAGTGTGTGTGTAATTTAACAACCGGTTCCTCCAGGGTCAGAACGGTTGCAGGAATTGGGTTTGTCTAGTGGAAAGAAGGACTAAGGGAGACATGGTAGTCTTCCAATATTCGAGGGGCTGCCCCAAAGAAGAGGGAGTCAAGCTATTCTCCAAAGCTCCTGAGGGCAGGACAAGAAGCAACGGGTGGAAATCAATCAAGAAGAAAAGCAACCTAGAACTAAGGAGAAATGTTCTGACAGAGAGAACAATTAATCAAAGATGACGGATGAGGCTGCAGGCAGTTGGCAAATTTGCCACCATGCATCTTTTTTAAGAAGAAAAATTGTGCCCATCCATCAATAGACCCTGTTTCTTGTTTATTTCTGGAACTGGTGGTCAGTAAACTGCATTCTAGAATGTTCTTGGTTGCAATTAGTTGATTTCCCAAGGAAGGGTCCATATAAGAATGTGGTGGTTTATATGCACACCTCTGCTTTTGTCCTGGTTGCTCTCTATCCTTCCATCCAGTTGTAGTGCCCTTCCCATGGCATGCATGCCCATCATTACGTGTCCAATTTGGGGAGCGTTTACCCTGATGCAAGTGAATTTCTCTCTGATTTCTTTCCGTAGATCAACCCATAGGTGGTCCTTGTAAACCAGATGGCTGCCCAGAAAAAACTGAGCAAATCTCTCTGTCCTCCACCTCTCTCTTTCTGCTGAGCTAAACAAGGCAACTTTGTCGACTGCAACCCATAGGATTGATTTAGGATTAGAAATTTCTAATCCCCTGGATGAAGGCCTGGATGTTGGGGTGGAGCTTTGTGCGTGTGATTTTTTTGATACGTGGACAATACGATTTTTATGGGCTTCAGCCCAATTTTCTTTCAAATGGATTGTATAATTTGATTCTGTTTTATTTCCATTCCCCACTTAGGGTTCCATGGGTGTGGGGAGAGAGAGAGAGAGAGGCGAAAAAGAGAGAAAAACAGAGACAGAGAGAAAAAGAGAGAAAGATGAAAAAGAAAGAAAGAGAGAGAGAGTGAGAAAGAGAAAAAAACAGAAACAGAGAAAGAGAGAGAGAAAGATGAAAAAGAAAGGAAAACAGAGACAGAGAGTGAGAAAGTGGAAAGAAAGAGGAAAAAGAGAGAGGGAGAGAGGCTTTCAATAATATTGGGGGGGATCGGGATTGCAACTGCTCTTTTCAAAATGTGTTTCCTGACTCTAGAATGCCACAGGAGCAAAAGGCCAGCTAGCACGTCTCATAACTTCATGGCTGGTTAACAGCCCCTTTCAAAATCTCTGCCTCCCCATGCAGGAGCTTTGCTCAGTTCTCCTGTCAAGCACTTGGCTTCCATCAGACTTGTGGGACAGGGCAGCCCCTCTGACTGTCCCTCTAGCATAATGCGGGGACAGATGGTGACGGCACCAAGGTCCAGGCTGCCAAAAGCCAAGGAATCCAGGTGCGAGCCAAGGCAACAGCCAGGGAATAATGCTGCGGTGCCACTGGCATTCTCACGCATACAGGCAACTCCTTGGGGGCTGAAGAGGAGGCCTAGGCTAACCTGTGTGGTGTGCATGCGTGGGTGTGTTTATTCCTCCCAACCTCCCTCCTTGGTTCAGAATGAATGCAGATCTTCCACCAGGACTCCCCTTCTTCTGATGAGAAGGACAGGGACGGTACCAATAAGAGAGAATATTTTTTTGTAGCTCAAGGAGAAGGGAGGCCCTTGACGCTCTCTGAGCTTGGCAGACGTTTCATTATCCAAACCAGGTAACACCACCATTGCTAGAAGGGAGGGGGGGTTGCAGGGGGGAGGAGGAGGAGGAGGAGGAGGAGGAGGAGGAGGAGGAGGAGAGGTGGAGGTGAGTGGGAGGAGGAGGGCTGTGGGGTCCTTGGTGCTCTCTGAGTTTGGTGCTTTTCTTGCACTGCTGCCGTTACCTACTTGGGTAATGAAATGTCTGCAAGAAAACCATGAGACCACCAAGGACCCCTGAGAGGCAGAGATGGGAAAGCCATGGCATTTCTAAGCCTCCAAGAAAAAGCTCAAAGGAAAGAAAGAGCTGAGAAAAATCGCACAATCCAAGGACCTTCAAACAGAAATAGGGGGGAGGAGAGAGACTTTTTTTTTTATGCGTACAGAAAAGATGAACTTAGACCGGTTCAAAAAAAGACAATTCAATTTGCTTTCAATGCTCTTTCGTATGTTGCAGTAATGGAATTTCTTAACAAAAACAAATGTTTCCAATGCTAGACTCAAATGTATGGCAGAATATTTCTGTTATAATATTGTGTCTCAGGGTTATAATAGTTAAGGTGCAGCGTTCTGTTTAAAGCTCGTATGTATCTTGAAGAATTAAAGATAAAATATATTCTTCCCCCTTTTCTCTCTCCCGTAATAAGATGGTGACACCATCCACAAAGACTTTTTGGAGAACCTCTCTAACTCTGAATTTCTACCCATTTTGTCTCGCCAGTTAGAAATGAATGAGAGAGACAAATATGTTTTTCCTGACCCAGGCTCCAGTCTCATATATTGCTACAAGGATGAAGTGTGTCTCTGTCTTTTTTAATCTAGAAACCCTGAGACACAATGAAATTAACAAGACTTTGAACGCTCTGAGCTGCAAGGTTCCCTAAAACATTTTGCGCCCTTCGTTTTCTCCTGGTGGTGCTCTGGGGAAAATGGCCCTAGAAAAGCAATTTCAGGAGGCAGTGAATCGTACGTCATTTTTAGACCTGCACAATGACAAAGTTGAACCCTTCCCCAAAGGAGCTGGTCTCAGACCATGCGTTTCGGTTTGGAGAAGACAAATGACTGAAGAGATCAAGGACAGCAGAGAAACCCATGGAACCTGGGCAGTTGTAAACTCAAGGAAAGTGGGTTTCCCCTACAGTCTAAAGGAAAGGCACCCTTGAAGGAGAAGCTGCTTCCGCCAAAGACAATAGTGAGGTGAAATTCCTCCCTCCTCCCCTCCTTCCTTCCTTTCTTCCTGCCCTCTTCTCCCTCTTTCTTCTTCCTTCCTTCCTTCCTTCCTTCCTTCCTTCCTTCCTTCCCCCTGCCTCCCCTTCCCTTGTTGTGACATTTAGGGTGGAATGCAGAAGTGAACAACAGGATGCATCTGTCTGGGTCAGTCTGCTCTTTTAAGATAAAAATACCTTGTGTCATCTCAGCAACTCCTTACTGGCAGGGAGAGAAATATTTGGCCTTGACCAAAGTTTTAGGCCTGTAATATTGGAGCTTCAAGTTAGAACCAAAGATAATGTCTGTACCCCAAATCTAGTCCTCCTCACCCTCACTCATTCTCCTTCCCTCCTTCCTTCCTTCCATGCATCCATCCACCCTCCCCTCCCTCCCTTTCACCTTTCCTTTCCTTTCTTCCTTCCCTCCCCATTTCTTCTTCCTTCCTCCCTTCCATCCATCCATCCATCCATCCATCCATCCATCCTCACCCCTACCTCCTTCCTTTCCTTCCTTCCCTCCCCCTCCCTCTGTCTCCTTCCTTCCTTCCTTCCTGACACTTTCCCAATCTAAAGAGATTTTCACCTGTCTTACCACAGATATTGATATCACCCAGTAATAACTCACTTATATATTTGAAGACATAAAATATCACCAGCTCCAACCTTAGAAGCTGCCCTGTTTCTCCCCTTTCCTCCCACTTCACTTAATACTAATGCAGTCTCCAAATAAGAGCACAGAACTTAGCTAAAAGAGGCCTATTTCCTTACATCCTTAGAAATACAAAGGGAGAAACCTTAGATCGGGGGTGTCAGACTCAAGGCCTGTGGGCCAAATCCGGCCCACGGGGTGCTTAGATCTGGCCCATGGGGCCGCTCTGGAAACAGCGAAGGACTGGCCCACAGCGCCTCTGTCAGTGGAAAGGGGGCCTGGTGGGCCGCACGCAGCCCTCCCGAGGTCCGTTTTCACTGGCTGAGGGTTGCAGGAGGCCAGGGTTGCGACTGAAACTGGAGCTCGGGAGCTGATTTCATCGGGCCACCACAGGCGCCCCCTCCCACGAGTGAGGTCAAGATGGCCACGCCCACCCTGGCCCCCTGAGGTCAACCACAACCCTGATGTGGCCCTCAATGAAATTGAGTTTGACGCCCCTGCCTTAGATTGAGAGTTGCTTGTATTTTTTATTCTATAACTGTACTAAAGAAAGTCGGAAGTCATTCTTTTTCTCTTTCTTTCTCTTTCTTTCTCTGAACTTTTATTCTTTTCCTTTCCTGAGCATTTTTCTTTTCAGATTTCCCTTTTCTATTTGTTTACCTTTCAAGTTTGTAATTTTTGTTTTGCAAAGTCAATAAAGTTATTTTTAAAAAAATACAAAAGGAGGGAGGTGAATCACCCACATCTGGAGAAACTAAATGTCTGAATCATCCCAAATGCAGACAGAAATTTAGGACAGGACAGTATTAAGCAAATAAGATTTCTCCTTCTCCTTCTTTAAAACCTTCAAGATGTTTGAAATTGAAAATAAGAAATGCCTCAGCTGTTTATAATACCATTCATTTCATTTCCTTTCTCCATCTTAAACTCCTGTCTTTGGTAAGACATCCATTTCCCTCTCTCTCTCTCTCTCTCTCTCTCTCTCCTTTTCTCTCTCTCTCCTTTTCTCTCTCTCTCTCTCTCCCTCTCTCTCTCTCTCCTTTTCTCTCTCTCCTTTTCTCTCTCTCTCTCTCTCTCTCTCCCTCCCCCCCTCTCTCTCTCCTTTTCTCTCTCTCTCCTTTTCTCTCTCTCTCTCTCTCTCTCTCCCTCCCTCTCTCTCTCTCTCTCTCTCCTTTTCTCTTTCTCTCTCCTTTTCTTTCTTTTTCATCTTTCTCTCTCTCCTTCTCTCTCTCTCTCTTTCCTTTTTATTCTGCAAATCATAAATAACTGTTTCCTCCCATTGAAGCCTACATAATATTGTTGCTTGTACCTATTAAGGTCTTCAGAATGTCTCATTTTCCCCCTTACAATTGAGGGAGAATTTGGGTGTGTCCTGAGCGAACCAGCCACACTAATCTGACTCCAGCCATGATTTAAAGTCGGATCAATCTCTCCTCTCCCTATTGGGAAGGTTCCCGTTCCTTTTCTTGCAGATTATTCTTCGCTTTGGAAGGATTGCAAAGGCCACAGGACCCCATAAATGTCAATCTCCCCATTGCAGGTCCACTGGCTGGATGGCGCAGGAGAAGTTCAACACAATCAACTCAGCCAGCATTAATTTGACTCCTAGCATTTGCCTGACCCCTTAAATCATCTGGACAGAAGTGGCCATAAAAGCCTCTATGGAGGATTTTTTTCCTTTGGCATAATTAAGTTTTCTACAGCATGGAATCCTTGAGAAATAAGTCCACATTGTATTTGACATTTGTCTGGGAGGCCTTCGGCATAGCAATTAGACTGTCATGGAGAGGTCTTCTTCTCTTCTCGGATGGGAGGTTCCACCTTCATTTTCCTACTAACCATCAACATGGTTGTATCGTCCGGTCCTGTATTTATCCAAATTGATTGTGCGTTTATAAACACCGACTGAATTGTGCTCAGTGCCCAGTTTTCTCATCTTCTTCATAGAGAGTTGAACATTTGATGTGTTATCCTTTTTTCTTGAAGTGCCCAATTCCCCCCACCAGAACAAATTGCTGATCAAAAAGAATTTGGTGGGGTTTCATTTTCTTTCCTGCAAATAAGTGCCACCACACCAAGATTAAGTGCATGTTAACACAAGTTGGGAAGGAAAAAATAGGGAAATGTTTGTGTCACCTGCAGTATTTTAGGGTTCACTTTCTACCTTCTAGCTTCTGAACCATTGCAGCTAGAAGGCAACAAAAAAGAGACACAAGCGGGATTTGGTTCTAGATTGTAGAGAAATGTTCTTCATCTGGAAAAGTCTATTTCTTAGATTTTCCTCTATGAAGACTATAATTTATCCAGGTATGTAATGCCTGACCCAAGCATTGCACTGTTAAGTTTATCTCTGCTTCCTTCAGGTTTTGCGATCCGTTGAAAAGCTCTAGAGAGGAGACTCAAAATGCCAATCCAAGAGAAGATCAAAGCAAAGAAGGAAAATGGCGCCCAAAGCCAAGATGAGATGGTGAGTGATGTAAGAAGCATCAGAATGGAAGTTGCATTTGGAGGGGGGGCAATTTTCATTGGGGTGGAGAAGAGTTTAGATCAAGGATGTCCAACGTTGGCAACTTCAAGACTTGTGGACTTCAACTCCCAGAATTCCCCAGCCAGCATTCTTGGAGTTGAAGTCCACATGTCTTAAAGTTGCCAAGGTTGGAGAACCCTGGTTTCGAGGAATAGATATCACAGTGTTCCTCTTCATGGACGAAATGAGTGAAGTTGCCTTCAGAAATTGAACAATTCACTTATCCGTGGAAAACAAATTAGCATGAAGTGCGAAGGATGGTCAATTAAGATTAAGATTATGTGTGTACTGAACAATTCTATAGATGTTTGCCTAGAAATCAACTGATATCTCCCTCCCCACTTACCCCCCCCCCCAAAAAAAGCAAAAGATGGGAAAGAAGGCAACAACCAAGGTCAGAGACAAAGGATGTGGGTTCTTTCTGGATTGAAAGAAATGCTCAGGATGTCCCTTCTTCACAAATCCTCTCAAAGCATAAAAGTTTTAGCTTCAGCCATCCCCTTCTCCTTCCATCTTCCATCTTCCCCAGCATCAGGGTCTTCTCCAAGGAGTCGTCTCTTCTCATTCGGTGGCTGAAGTATTTGAGGTCCAGCTTCAGTATCTGTCCTTCCAAAACACAGTTAGGGTTGATTTCTTTTAGGATTGACTGATTTAATCTCCTTGAAGTCCAAGGGATACTCAAAAGTCTTCTCTAATGCAAGGGTTTATTATCTGTAGCAAATTACAACTTCTATGCAATTTCCCAACATATAATAATATTGTTCCTAGAAGGAACCTGAAAGAAAGTGTGTGGTAGGTTAGAATATCAAGGCAGAATTTCAACTACAAAAAATAGTTTTGTAAAACAAAATACTATGAGAATATCCCATTACTAATAGCTTGGACTCTTTTTTATTAGGTACTGCCCAAGCTCCCGGTTCCCCCCCTCCAGCAAACATTAGATAGGTACCTTCAGTGCATGAAACATCTGGTGACTGAAGAACAATATAAGAAAACAAAGACTCTTGTGGAGAAGTTTGGGGCACCAGGAAACCAGGGAGAATTCCTTCAGAAGAAGCTTCTTGAAAGACATGAACAAATGGAGAATTGGGTATGTCTTCTGCCCTTAAACTGCAAATATGTTTCTCATAGAAGTTGTGAAAAGAGCTAGAATCACACTGGGGTCTAAGCTTCTTTCTCCTTTATTCCCTCCTCCAAGGAATTGGTTGAGATGCTCTGATATCATCAAGGAATTATTAGTACAGACAAATGTTTATTTACAGACTTCCTTTTTTGAAGACAATGGGAAATTAACATGGGAGAGAAGAATCACTGTAGACCTGTAGTCATCAAAGAACATTAATATTAAAATTGAGTCCTAGTTTGGGTAAGGCACCAGGTTAGGAAGCAAGAGATGGTGAGTTCTAGTCCCATGACGGTGGGACTAGTTAACTAGGTGGTGAGTTCTAGTTAACCATGAAAGCCAGATGGATGACTTTGGCTGATCACTCTCTCTTAGCCCAACCCATCTCACAGGGTGGTGGTTGTGGGAAAATAGGAAGAGGAAAGTGTGTTGGAAATGTTCATCATGTTGAGTTATTTATGAAAATAATGAAGGCGGGGCACAAATAAATTTTAAAAAATAGAAAGAAAAAGGCATTTATGGTAAAAGATAATGTACCCCCCCCCCCCCCTCTCTCTCTCTTTGGTAGGTATTGCAATATTGGCTAGATGACATGTATCTTAATAACCGATCAGCTCTTCCCATCAATTCTAGCCCAGGAATTATCTTTGCTTGCCAAGAGTTTCAAGAAGCAGATGATCAACTGAGGTAAAGTATCTGAAGACTCACCGAAGACCACAAACATTCTGTTCCGGCTACATCTGTAGCACTGCAGACAGCTGGTCATTTGTATCCTTTTAGAGAGTGGTTGAGGCCACCTGGAGGTTTATCTGTGTCCTCAGGGTCAAATGCAAAGGACCAGCTGTTTGCAAGGAGTATAAACCCTTCCATTCCCTACCATCCTGTCAGAGCTGAAGAAGCTTCTTGGATGAGAAGTGAAATGTCTTCAAAAGAAAAAACAAGAAAGTCCAGTTGCCTCTAGAAAAAACAAAAAAAACAAAAAACATCTTTGGGACATTCATGAGCTGGATGGCCAAGAATCTCCATAGACAGAGAGAATATCAAATCGTTCTGTTCCGATCACTGTCTCAGGAATTGACCAGTGGTGGGTTGCCCCAGTTTGGACCGGTTTGCAAGAACCGGTAGTAAAACCGGTGGGAGGCTTCGCCCACCGACCCGGACATCTTCAGGAAGTTTCTGCGCATGCGCAGAAGCTTCTGTGGATGTGCAGAAGCGTGCGGTCCCATTGCGAACCAGTTGTAAAGGTAAGTAGAACCCACCCCTGTTGCTACTGGTTTGCACCGATCGGGCGAACCGGTAGCGGTGGCGCAGAAGCACCGTGCGCAAGCATGCAAGCGCCCACACGAGCGAACTGGTGTCAACGGGATTTGGAACCCTCCCCTGGAATCGACCTCAATCAAAATGAACGCCTTCATTCATGGGACACTGTGTTTAACTTTCAAGTCCCCAGCTCCTTCGTCTCTCTGTCTGACGCCAACCTATCGGTTAAGCAGCCTCTTTTTCATGTCATCTCAGCTACAGCCCAACCAGATCCCGGCGTGCCCCACTGAATTTAAAAAGGGTGAACCATGTTAAGATTGTGCTTTGTCTTGCTTTAAATAAGCCTGTGTTGAAAATGAAAGCAGGTTTTTCTGCCTTCACCCTGTTTTGGTTATTCTTCATATTCATTAGATAATTTATATCCCACCCTTCTGATTCCTTTTCCGTTGTCTGGAGACATTAATCACAAGCAAGATCATAAAATCACAATGACACATAAACTAAAAGCAATAAAAATAGATAAACTACAGACAGCTCCAGCAGATAAAAACAACAAAAATGAGTAGTTGTTATATGTATGAATGTGTAAGTATATAAACACACACACACACACACTGTCCTGCTTGTCGGAACAGATAAACAAATATTACAAACAGAGATATTATCGTATTTCCTACTAATGTTATAATATTCCAATCAATTAAAATATATACAAATCCTTCTAAGTGACTGGATTGTTCTCAAAGAGAGTGGATTAACTGTAAGAGGAGAATATTGTCTTTGATCATGTAGAAACCAGAGGCTCACATTTCTCAAGAAAAACATTTTCATGTGTCTGCCCTTACCTACAGATTTGAAAACTAAAATGATCTGGGAAGATAAATTGGACTGAAAATTACTTCTGCTACTTATGGCATATCCCCCCCCCCCAATAAACAGTCTCCTTGGGCCCTCCTATCTACGAAAGGTTCATTTCTGTTTTGCTCGAGTGATACTACTGCCAGACAGTATGGAAGACTCAATCAAATTGCAATGTCTGAGCAACTAAAACATTTGCCTTTTGGATTATAGCTTGCTCAGAATTGTGGAATTAAGATAGAGGTACTTTGGTGAACAGTTGGGGTTTTAAGCTAGCCATTTTTAAAACCTGAAGTGAGATCAGTATGAAGCATTCATGGAAAAGAAGGTTATTTTAATAGGGCGCAAATGGTTTCTAGACCTGTTCATATATTATGAGTATCATTATGGGACAATTTGGGTGAATGAACAATTTAGATAGAGTCTTCAGATATGTAGCAGTGAAACTAGGGCTAATTTTGCATGCTTTGATATTCTGAAATTACCATCTGTAAATCCAAATCCTTATATTTAATGACTGCCAATCCAAGGATTAAGATATATTCCCATGATTTTGGAACAAAATTAAGTATTCATTAACCCAGTGATGCCAAGAAAACTGTTATATTTGATGGAGCTAAGGTGGAAACCAAAATAATTATCCAGAAATAAGTTCCATTGCTAACTTCCAGGTAAATAGAATTATCATTTCAGTCTTAATATTATACATTAAGCAACATGGCACAATATATAGAACTAACACAAGAAGCTATTTTATAACTGATCTATCCAGATCAATATTAGACCAATATTAGACATATTTGGCAGGCAGCAAGTTGAGGAAAAGACCTTTTCTTGTTTATGGGATCTACATACAGGATTCTCTCTCAGATCTATCGAATCTGTCTGTCTGTCTGTCTGTCTATCTATCTATCTATCTATCTATCTATCTATCTATCTATCTATCTATCATCTCCCTCCCTCTCCCTCCTACCCCTCCCCTCCGTCATAATTTTTTCTGGCATGTCCTGGCCTTCCCTTAATTCTGTTCAATTAATATTGCCTAAGAATTCAAATGTTTAAATAGGTTGAGGTTCCAGTAAGAGACAGCTCCTAGTACTGTAAGAAGCTTGGCTGACCCCCCCACCCCCACCCCACCCCAAAAGAAGATTGATCTTAGTATTTGGAAGAAGTAGGGAGGACAAGCACATTGTCTCTTTAAAGCATCCACTTCCCAGGTTGACTGCTTTAAGCAGTGGACTTAAACTTTAATAGTCAACGGTTTAAAGCTGCCACATCTTATCCTATCCATGTAGTCACCTCAAATCAGGACACAATTAAAGGAGACTTTTCATTTAAAAATTTCCAAAGCACCTTTTAAAAAATGTTTTTAGATATATTTCTCCTTTTTTATTACAACAAGCCCTCCCTGAGTATAAGGTCAAATTTTTACTGGTCAAATTAAATAGCATTTTCTAAAGTACAGAGGGAATGTAAAAATATTGAAACTCTGATTAAATGCCTTGATTGAGATTGTTCTGCTAATGTGATTATGTGCTCAATCTCATTTTACTTTGAGTACAATCCAAGAATTCCAATGCTCGTGAAGTCTAAAAGCCTCATTTCTTACTTCGTCTGTCACAAGGCACAGAGACAACAGCTCTCCATTTACATCTGAGTTACATCTCAGACTCAGCTTTCCAATTAGCCCTCCCTAATTCCGATGTATGCTGGCTAAATCATATGATCTGCAAATGTTATTGACGTGCACTGTAAAATTACAGAACGACAGCACTGACCAGAAGCTCTTCTTTGGAATCTTTCAGAAATGTATTATCAGTGCTGATTTGGCTGCAAACTAAATAGCTTCATTGTGGCAGCTATTTTATTTTTCTGCTTTGCATCTGTTATTTGCAGAGCTCCTGACCCGGAAAAGGCCTCTTAGCCTGCTGGAGCCCTATAGAGAAACCTTAAACAGGAGGAGGAAACAGAAAATGCTGCCCAGATACAATCTTGACCAGATATGAACTGCAATAAGACAATTGTAATTTTAAAAATTGTTCAGAAAAAAGCAGAGAATGCATCCAAAATGTCAGTCTGGCCATTCCTGCACAGTACCGTAAATCATCAGTAGTTAAGGCTAGCCCAAACCAAAGGCGGCTTGAAACAAACAACCCAGGATCCTCCCAAAGGGGCTTTTTCAGGAGGCAACTGGACTTCCTTGTTTTTTCTTTTGAAGACGTTTCGCTTCTCACCCAAGAAGCTTCTTCAGCTCCGACAGGATGGTGGGGAACGGAAGGATTGATATTCCTTGGAGACAGCTGGTCATTTGCCTCCTTTCAGAGGGTCTTTGAAGCACTGGGAGGTCTATCTGTGTCCTCAGGGTCACCTGAGTAAGTGTTCCTGGTTCCTGCAGTCTGCAATTTTTCCTCTGGAAATCCATTCCTACTCTCACACCGTTCCAAGGGTGTTCATCCCAAATTGTATAGCTAAATTCTGTAGAGATCCTCAGTCATCCAGGTCACAGTTGTCCCAAAAGGTGGTTTTTCAGGAGGCAACTGGACTTTCTTGTTTTTCTTTTGAAGATGTTTCACTTCTCATCCAAGAAGTTTCTTCAACTCTGACCGGATGGTGGGGAATGGAAGGATTGATATTCCTTGCAGACAGCTGGTCATTTGCCTCCTTTCAGAGAGCCGTTGAAACATTTGGTGGTTTATCTGTGTCCTCATGTGTCATGGGACAACCATGACCTAGATGACTGAGGATCTCTACAGACTTCTAACCCATGATCCTGTTTGTCTGTCTTCAGGAAAAAAATAAGGAGAGATTAAAGATTATCCTTTTGTAGGAAGAGTTTGTGAGGGAAAGAGAGGATTGGGAGCATTAAAATAGCTCTGTCCTGCCGCATTTTTGCTAAACCACTGGTATCTCCTGGCTGGCCAATTTCAAGGAGTAATCCAATTTGAATAGGTTCAAGAAACTTATTAAGAGACTTCCTTAATATGTTGTTAAAACAATGGATTTAGATTCAGAAGACCTAGGTTTGAGTTCACATGCCATATCAGGGATCTAACCTACTTTGCAGAACAAATTAGCTGAGAATCTCACCCATTCCCTTTTCAGAGGTGATTTAAAAATGGAAGTAATAAGATTAATTAATACTGATGGACAATATATCAAGTTGCTCCTTGATTGTCAGCTGGCAAAGGACCACCATGATAATTTGATGATGATGATGATGATGATGAGTATATAATTTCTTGCTACAGAAATCCATGGGGCTTATATATTTTGACTTTTAGGTTTGCAGCCAATCTCATTTCTGGAGTTCTGGATTATAAAGCTCTCCTGGACAGGTAAGCCATTTGTCTCTTACAAATAGAATCCCTTCTTAAATGAGGGACAGAAGCAAAAGGGGGTTGAGATGAGTTCATGCAGCAATGAAGTCACCCTCTCGAAATAAACCATGTTCTGAGGAGAATTGTAGGTGTAATTTAGATGTACCGCTTTTAGGGGAAAATCCCATAAATTGTGGACAATTCACAAGAATATATCTGACTTTAGTCCCAGACTCCGGAACTGATAGGAAAGAAGGTCTGAAGATTAGAAGAGCTGAAAAGCACAAAAAGTGTTTCTATGCACAGCACATTTTCTGAGCAGGAGCAACATTGCTACATGACATACGATCCCAGGGCTGAAGGCCATCCTCCCAAGGACCCCAAAATTTTGGATGCTTCTTTTTTTTTAAGAGGTTGGGGAAAATGATAGAAGACACAATTAGAAGTTTAATGACATTTCAGTTGAATGAAAAGGAAAGATAACTGAAAAGTAAAGAATGTTAATTTGCCTTTGTCTCCACCAATTACTCCTGGAAGGAGGGTTCCAGTGGTGATGTTCAAAAGCCCAAGCCTGGTCCTCAGCAGGGGTGAAATGTAAAATTTGTTACTACCGGTTCTGTGGGCGTGGCTTGGTGTGTGTGGGGGGGGTAATGTGACTGGGTGGGCATGGCCAACTTTTTTTTTTTAACTTTTAAAAGCATTTTTTTCTACAACCTCTTTGGCTGAAGAAAAAATGCTTTTAAAAGCCTCTGACGATCCCAGCTGATCCGCACGATCATCAGAGGCTTTTTTTTTTTTTTACTTTTAAAAGCATTTTTTCAGCCGAAGAGGTTGTACAAAAAATGCTTTTAAAAATAATAATAAAAAAAACCTCTGATGATCGCACGGCTCAGCTGGGCATGGGGGGGGGCATGCCGGGATTTTTGCTACCGGTTCTCTGAACCACCTGCTACCATCGCTACTGGATCGGATGATCCGGTCCAAACTGGGAGCATTTCACCCCTGGTCCTTAGCCCTGAAAAAGTTGTGCACCCCAGAATTATAGTTTGGCATCAAAAGGCAACCATTTCCAGTTCCTTGCAGGAAGGATTTATGAAATCGTGATGTCATAACACTGAGTAGCATAACAAAACTAGACCTGTGTGGGATGGAATTTAAGATGTTGTTATGAATAGATATGATCATTTGCCAAAGCACAAAAGCTTTGTATACTCATTCCATTACGGGCCAGTGTATCTTTCTTAGCATTGTTGAACCTGGCTGCATGTGCTATGTCTTGTGTTGAGTAACCCTCTTTTGTTAGGTCACACTTTAGCTCAACAATGCATTCCTGCTTCAGATCTGTTCAATAAATCATCTTCAGTCCAGACTATGATACAGGCTATTATCCAATTCAAATGACCAGAACTATTTGAAAATTGAATCAACTCCATAAAATAGGATTTGATGTGATTTGAAAGGTTGGATTGGGTTGATTTAATTTGTTGGAACAATCTGGGGTAGGAACCGCTTTTACGTGTGCTCAAAATCCTTTTAAATTGTTGAATTTATTCAAATGCATCTTGGGTGATTCAACAGTGGGATTCAACAATTTGATTTGAGAGAGTCTATCAAATATTATTCTGATTGAAACTCTGGGGAAAAAAATCTTTGTTCCAGAGGAAACAGTGATAGGATATTTTGCCAAACAATTCATCAATTCTGTTGTTTCCACCTAGTTTAGCACAACGTCTTTTACAGTCTCCAGAGAACATTGTTTACAAAACATTATAATTATGAATTTTTCTACTGTCCTTAAAATGAGACATTAATATGATACCATAATTCAATTTTAGCATCTCAAGCTTCTCCCAAATTGTAGGCAATTAGGCATCACATTGGCCTAGCAGCTTTGCCTGCCCTTTAAAAAGGACTAAGTCCATCTAACATCTTCCTTGTGTCACCACAAAAAAATTACACTCCTCTCTGGCAGAAGGACCTCTGCCATGCATAGCAACATTCTCAAGTAGACACCTTTGGTCTTTATTATTGACTATTACTGGGTTTTCTCCAATGCTCATTCATGAATGGTTGGAATGTGGACATGTTAAGAATGATGGTTTTTCGGAGGCTTCCGGGAGTGATGTCACAGCGGAGCAGGGAAATGGGGCTCTGTTATTCTCACCCAATTTCTCCTGTCTGGTGGCCCCCATGGGTATCGTTAAGCCTGGAGGGTTAGGAAAGGTAGAGGGGAAGCCCCGAAGACTGCGTGGAGAAGGGCAATCTCCCGCTAGAGTGAAGGGAAACCAGGGGTGAAATGCTCCCAGTTCAGACCAGATCGCCCGATCCAGTAGCGATGGCAGTGGGTGGTTCAGAAAACCGTCAGAGGCTTTTAAAAGCATTTTCTTTACAATCTTTTCAGCCGAAGAGGTTGTAGAAAAAATGGTTTTAAAAGAAAAAAAAAAACCCTCTGACGATCAGGTAACTCAATATAGTTGAGATATTGAGTAAATATCTCAACTATAATGGTAAATGGAGACCTAATAGATAAAGTCATTATAAACAAGGGGGTTAGGCAAGGATGCCCACTATCCCCCTTCTTATTTATTCTCTCGCTAGAAGTTTTATTGATTCAGGCCAGGGATAATCAGGAAATAAAAGGGTTGAAAATTAAAAAAGAAGAGTACAAAACACAGGCATATGCAGACAATATGGCTTTCATAATAGAGAATCCTTTTGAAACTGGAGAATTACTAATACAGGAAATAGAGAAATTTGGTATGGTCACAAGTTTAAAAATAAATAAAAACAAAATGAAGATAATAACCAAAAATCTCACACAAGGCCAAAATAAGGAATTAGAGAGGATATTGGAAATTCAAGTAGTGAAAAAAGTAAAGTATCTTCGCACTTGGTTAACAGCAAAAATTTCCTCTATAAAAGAAGTTAACTATTTAAAATTACTACAACAAATTCGAAAGGATTTAGAAAATTGGGCAAAGCTACAATTATCTTTGATTGGAAGAGGGGCGACCATAAAAATGAACATCTTACCAAAATTTTTATACTTATTCCAAATGGTACCCATAAAACTAGGGATTTTTTTTTTTTTTAAGAATTGAACAAAATAACTCTAAAATTCATTTGGCTGGGGAAAAAAAACTAGAATTAAATTAAAAGATTCTACAAGATTCTAGAATTAAAGGAGGCTTCAGCCTTCTGGATTGGGAACTCTACTACCAGGCGGCAGCTGTAACATGGCTCAAGGAGTGAATAAATTTAAAAAATAGAAGAATACTAACGATAGAGGGACATGACTTTCAGCGGGGCTGGCACGCCTTCATTTGGGAGGGAAAGAACAGAGCTCACAAATATTTCCAGAGACATCAGGTGAGAGATTCCCTATTAGAGATTTGGATGAAAATTAAAAGAAATTTCTACACAAAAATCCCCAGATGGATATCAACAATGGAAGCAATGATCTATCCCAATTTAATTGATTTAAAAAGAATAGTAATTTATAAAGAGCTTCTAGATGATCAAAGGAGACTTAAATCTAATCAGGAATTAACATCACAGGGAATTAAAATAGATTGGTGGCCCTACCTACAGATTCAAACAAGATATTAAAAAGATTCAGAACAATTTGGGTTTCAAATCAAGCAACAAGAAATGGATAAAATACTAACAGGGACTGATGAAAAAACGATTACCAAAACATATAACTGCCTCCTCAAATTTAAAATGGAGGAGGAAACTGTGAAAGAAACAATATTAATTTGGGTGAAAAATTTTGGGTATAATATAGAAATGAAGCATTGGGAAAAATTATGGGGGGAAAATTATAAAATGACAATGTTGGCCGCATACAAGGAAAATATCTACAAAATGTTTTATGGATGGCATTTACCCCTGGCGAGATTGGCCAAGATGTCTCCAAATAACCCACCAAATTGTTGGAAATGTAACCATCAACAAGGGACATACTGCCACATGTCTTGGACATGTCCCAAAGTGAGAGATTATTGGTTAAAAATTAAAAAGTGGTTGGAGGAAATTATTGAACTAAAAATTGACTTGAAACCAATGTTATTTCTTCTGGGTATTATAAAAGGAAAGAAGAATAAAGAAACTCAATACCTTATGCTTCATATAATTACGGCAGCCAAAATATCATTTGCCCAAAATTGGAAACAACAACACACTCCATCAAACACAATGATTATAAAAAAGGTGCTAGAATGCACAGAAATGAATAAATTAACAATGGAATTAAGGGACAGAGAGGAAATAGTATATTATGAGACATGGAATAGGTGGTATAACTGGCTGGAAAAAAAGTCTAAAATTAATGTATGGTGAACGTTAAGAGAAGATAATATAACAATATATATATATATATTTAGAGTGCAGTAGATATGTATATATTGTATATATTAGATAAATAAATACTTAAGAAATAAGAATGTATATGTACACGATAAGCCGAAGGATATGATGAATTTAAGAAAAAATTCTGATAACGGAAAGCTGTAAAAGTGTAACTGATTTTAAAAGTGAAAAATGTTGAATAAAAATTATTTAAAAAAATAAAAAGCAACATGTTAACCTATTGGAATATTCCAAAATTAGGAAATTGTACATGTCACTAGCACATCAAAAGAAAAGAGGGGTAGCATTATATGTTAGAAATTCATTAAAAATTCGTTAAGCTGACTTTGTATAAAAAAGAACACCGATTGGGGGGGGGGGCAAAAAAGCCCTACTAAGCAGGTATATACGAAAGTATGAAGGCTATTGCTTAAAAGCATTGTAAGCCGCCCTGAGTCTCCGGAGACGGGCGGCATATAAATCAAACTAATAAAATAATAATAAATAAATAAATAATAAACAAGTATAGGCAGATGAAGGGAGAATACTAATGATGAAGATACTAATAAACCAGAAACAAACCCTCTTGATTGCAAAATACGCTCAAAATAATAAGCAGGAAGAGTTTTACAAAAGACTTCATAAAAAGATAACTGAAGTGGACTATGAAAATATATGCATAATAGGGGATTTCAATGCACTTGTGGACATTAAAAATGATTATAGAAGCAGCAAAAGAATAAAAAAACAAGAAGAACACTTCCAAAAACCTTCTCTGAAATGACACAAGAAATAGGCGTGCAGGATGTATGGCGAGCGCTAAACGCAAAGGTAAATCAATACACATTCTGCTCAAACAGACATCAATTGTGCTCGAGAATAGACCTGGTGTGGATGACCTCAGGAATGAGAACAGATGTCCAAGAGGTAGAGATAGCAGTGAACATACGGGCAGATCACTATCCCATAAAAGTTATATGGAAGGGACAAAAGAAGAAACTGAGATGGACAATGAATCAAACTATCCTAAAAGACAAGGAGTTCATACGAATGATGGAAAAAGAAATGGAATTTTTCCTAAAAGAAAATAGAAAAGAAGAAACATCACTGCAAAATGTCTGGGATATGGCAAAAGCATACATGCGAGGACGAGTGATAACATACATAACAAGAAGAAGCAAGAAAAAGAAACAACAGCAAAACATATTACAAGATGAGCTTAAAAGACTAGAGATAAAACTGCAGAAGGACCCGCAAAAAAACAAGAGAAAAGAGAAAAGACGGGTTTCCGGCAGAACTTTGCAAAAGCTTACAAGAGGTACTAGGACCATTATTGCTGGAGGTCTACAATGAAGCGTTATCAAAGGCCAAACTCCCCAAAACTTGGACAGAAGCATACAGTACATTACATTAATACCAAAGGCAGACACAGATCCTCAACAGATAAAAAACTACAGAGCAATATCATTACTTAATGTAGATTATAAAACATTCGCCTCTATAATTTCAGAAAGATTAAAAAGATTTTTAGACGAATTAATACATCCCAACCAGAATGGTTTTCAACCTAAAAGACAATTAAAAAATAACATGAGGATTATTATGAACATATTGGAATACTACAAAAAACAGCTAGCATTGATCTTTCTGGATGCACAAAAAGTTTTTGATAACATGAACTGGCAGTTTATGACATCACAGTTAAAAAACATGAACTTCAGTGAAAACTTTGTGAAGATGATCCAAGCAATATATTCCAATCAAACGGTGAAAGTGATAGTAAATGGAGAAATAAATAAATAATAAATGGAGAAAAATTTGACATAAACAAGGGTACACTATCTCCTCTTTTATTCACACTAATCCTAAAGGTCTTATTCAGACAGACCAGACAAGACCCAGAAATAAAAGGTTTGAAGATAAAAAAAAATGTTCTGCTCCAGCTACGGACCCCAAAGAACGCAGCACACACAAAGTCTGTTCAAACCTTAGTTTACTAAATAAACCAATCTTTTACAACAACGGCTGTTAATTAATTGCATTAACAGCCGCCAAGAATTCAAAGAATAAGAACTAAAAGCTTACTATGGTTGGCAGAATGCCCAGAAGCAATTTGCAGGAAGCTGATAAAATAAGCAAGACAAGACACGAAGGTATGTGAATGAAGTTGTTCCCTGCAAATTGCTTCAGTCGGTGTTCCTCCTTAAATAGGCTAGCCACGATGCAAGGCAAAAAACCAAGAATCAAATTGAAAATGTTACAAGATTTTAAAAACAAGGGAGGATTTGGGCTACCAGACTGGGAGCTGTATTATCAGGCCTTAGTGCTCACATGGGTGGAGGAGTGGATAAATTAGAAGAACAAAAGAATATGGACCATAGAATGGCATGATTTACAATTGGGGTGACCTGCATTTGTATGATATGGAAAAAGTAAACCACATAGTTACTTCCAAAGGCACTATATCAGAACTGCTCTGTTGTCAGTGTGGGGAAAAATCAAACAGAATCACTATATGAAAATACCGGTCTGGCTAGCCACGATGGAGGCGTTAATATACCCTAATGTTTTAGACCTGGATAAAATTGTAAGGTACAAAGATGTACTAAATGAACAAGGGGATTCAAAATCAAAAGAGGAACTAAAAAAATCAGGGAATTGATTTGGACTGGTGGCCACCTATTCAGATACAAATGAGACATAAGAAAGATACAGAGATGTATGGATTTTTATAAGGAACCCCAAGAATTGGAAAAGATACTGTTAGGGACAGATGAAAAATTAATAAAGAAAATTTATAATTACTATTGAACTCTAAAATGGAAGAAGAATATATAAAAGAAACCATGACAGCATGGGCAAATTTTTGGGGGTATATTCTAGAATTAGATAATTGGCAAAAACTATGGGAAAGACATTACAAATTAACAATGTCAATGGCATACAAAGAAAACCTGTACAAAATGTTTTATAGATGGCAATTGCCACCAGCGAGAATGGCAAAAATGTTCCCAAACATGTCACCAGAATGTTGAAAATGTAAACAGGTACCAGGATCGTACTATCATATGTGGTGGACCTGTCCAACGGCAAAAGGATATTGGTCAAAGATAAAAAGGTGGTTAGAAGAGATGACAGCACAACAAATAGGTCTAAAACCAGAACTATTCTTATTAGGTATACAATAAAAGAATCACATACTTAATGTTACATGTAATAACAGCAGCTAGAATCACATATACACAAAATTGGAAAAACGAAAGTATACCTGTAGATAAAAAAGTAATAAAATATTAGAATGTGCCAAATTGGACAGGTTAACAATGGAATTTAAAGATAAAGAGGAATCTTGAGTATTACTCAACATGGGACTAATTATACAAATGGTTAGACAACAGATGCAGAGATTAGTAACTGAATAATGAAAGCTCAACAAAATAGAAATAGATACAGTTGTATAGAATACTTCCTTTTTATCTCTCATGGTTCTAACTGATCTGATCAGATTTCTTTTCCTTCTTCCCTCACACACACACATTATGATTGGTCTTTTGTTCTGTTCCTCCAGCCATGCACTCCCTGTGGATTTTGCTCGTGGACAACTCTCCGGTCACCCCCTTTGTATGAAGCAATACTACGGACTCTTCTCTTCTTATCGTCTTCCGGGACATACCAAGGACACCCTCGTGTCCCAGAAAAGCAATATTATGCCTGAACCAGATCATATCATTGTTGCTTGTAACAATCAGGTGAGGGCATCTGAATCCTACATTTTTTAAAAAATATATATATATATCTACCCCTCACCCACTTTCTTAAATTGATTGAGAATGTATACAAATTCAAGTTATGGGAGTTTTGCCTAGTCTGGGTGATCATTAGGTGTATGAACTTCAGGTTCCAGAATTCACCAATCAATGCAGCCAGTGCTGAGAATTTGGGGGATTGAAGTCCATATATCTGGAATTTTTTTAAAAAATGCCTGAAAACAGGACCAACAGTGTCAGGTCCCATATGTTTCTATTGGGACCCTGGCATTCTGGTGGGAGAGGGAAGGATTGGAGGGATCTCTATCTGAAGTTTCTGTTTCTATTTACTGCTTGGAGAGATTGCTTTATGAAGTTTCTGTTACTGTTTCCTGCATTGCTGTACTGTGGGAAGGGTTTTGTTTACACTGTTTTAAATTGCTGTGTTTTAAGTGGGAACATTTAGTTCCTGCCTAGACCTCTTGCTATCACAAGCCTTTCAAGAAAAGTGCCATTAGGCAGGAAATGTGAACTGGTCAACCCGGAGAGTAACAGTCCTACCATGGGGACTGTGCACCCCATGTCTGCCCAGGGTAACGACCACATAATCCAAGCAGACGAGATCCTCAATGCCTGGATCACGGAGTCCATTGCCTCAAGCATCGCTGCCAAGCCAAGGTGGTCCATCGGCGTTGGGAAGAAGGAAGGCTGGGGCGGCAGGACCAAGGATGTCACCCTCACCAGTGGGAGCCACTGACCCAGCTGGAAGCAGGAGATGGAAGACCTTTACAAAGATGACAAACTGGAAGAAGCCCCAGACTGGTCCAACCAAGGAAGCCCTGAGCCTCATGAGGGAGGCCATCCATGGCATGCGGATCCAGGGTGCCCCAGCTTGCACTGCAGGCAAGGTAGGAGTGCAAAAGGAGGGTACCAATGGACAAAAGGGATCCCCAACCCCAGGGGCATCTACAGGGTTGTCACACTGGCTCTAGAAGGATCCACTGCACTTTGGATGGTGAGCCTCCATAACACTGGAGCTCTGCAACTTCAACCACTTCATGACAGCCCTGAGACAGAGATTTGAGGACCCCCCTAGTTGACCACAAGGCTAGAGATTGCAGAAGGCACATCAGACAGGGGCACCATCCAGTCACTGAGTACATCGAAGAGTTTCGTGACCTGACTTGCCACATAGTTTAGCCAGAGGAAATACTTATGAGTTGGTTCAAAGATGGCTTAAATGATTACCTGTATAATGCCTACGTTGCCCATGGAGCCCCAGTTCACCTGCATGGTTGGTGTGTCTTGGCTGAGGAAACTGAAATCAACCAAACTTGAAACCAGTACCACGCAAGCTGCTTCTGGAAGATATCCCCACTGGAAGGGAGAAGAGACCAAACCTCTCTCTGCCCCACCGCACTCAGCCACCTGCTTCAATTGCAGGAAGGAAGGCCACCGTACAGCTGAGCGCCATGCAAGGATGCCCACCCAGAAGGGAGAGAAGCAGGTTGGAGGGAAACCCTCAAAGCCATCACTGTGTTCCAGAGATGCCACCCTAAAGACTCATGCAGTCGTTGAGTTCCCGCTGGAATTAATTACAGTGCAAGGAACTCTGACCTCTCTGATCAGTCAGAGAGCGACTACAAAGACCCTTTGGTAAGTGGGGTGCACAAGAAGCCTAATTAGCCCAACTCTGGTTGGGGAATTGGGCATTCAACTAAGGCCACTAAAAACCCCAGTCTCATTCTGCCAACTTGGTGGGTCCATTGCAGGTGGTGCCCTGGCCACATTTGCTACTGAACCACTCAAACTAATGATGGCAAATCACTCCGAAACCATTGCTTTCATTGTGACACCAGGCCTCTTGTTCTGGGACACTGGCCCCTTGTTCTGGGACTGACCTGGTTAAAGAAGTGGAACCCAAGGGTGGACTGGATGGAGAGGATGCTCCAATTCCCTAGTAATGAATAAATCTGGAGTGAGGAACCAGACTGGAATACCGCAGAGTGAAGAGGTAGCTGTGACTGCAGCGAATGGCCCCTACTGGGTGTCCCCAGGGAATACTGAGATTTGATGGATGTTTTCAGCAAAGCAGCCTCAGATGAACTTCCCCCCCAAAGGTCTACAGACTGTGCCATCGAGATTTTACCGGGGCCAAACTACCTAAGCCAAAACTTTATGCTATGACTCCCTGGGAACTGGATGAACTGCGGCAATTTATAAACAAAAAACTCAAGCGTGGGTTCATCGAACTGGTGAGAAAGTCTTGTTCCGGGAGAAGGATGGCTCATTACGCTTATGTGTGGATTATATCCCCTATCCCTAATGAAGGATATGCTGGCCCACCTGGCGAAGGGGAGTACTTTTTCCAAACTAGACTTAAGGGAGGCTTATTACCGGATCAGGATCCAGGAGGGGGATGAATGGAAAACAGCATTTAATTGTCCGTTGGGATGTTTCAGTTCAAGGTTTTGCCATTCGGGCTCCAAGGGGCTCCTGCCATTTTCATGCAGCTGATTAATGAGGTGCTACATGAGCACTTGTATAAGGGAATTATTGTTTATCTTGATGATATATTGATTTATACTGAAACTAAGACGCAACATGTTAAATTGGTGTCGGAGGTTTTGAAGAAATTAAGAGCAGCTAAGTTGTTTGCCAAACTCTCCAAATGTGATTTTCTCCAAGATAAAATAGATTACCTAGGGTACAGAATCTCTCACTGGGGGTGGAAATGGACCCCACAAAAGTCAGAGCAGTCCTCGATTGGGAAACCTCCCATACTCACAAACAATTGCAGAGCTTCTTGCGGTTTGCTAACTTTTATAAGCAGTTTATCCCTCTTTTGCCCAAATAGTGTTGCTGATAACGAATCTGTTAAAAACCAAGGAGGTAGATAAACCAAAACCTAGCCAATCACTGAATTGGACTATGGACTGCCAAGCGGCATTTGAAAAACTGAAAAAACTTTTTTCGGCCAAACCTGTGTTAAAACACCCAGATCCAGAGAGACCATTTGTAATCCAGGCCAATGCCAGTGATGTGGAAATCAGTGCGGTTATACTCCTAGAGAATGAAAAAGGCAAGTTACAACATTGTGCATACACCTACAGGAAATTAACTGAAACTGAACAGAGATGGGCAATATGGGGAAAGGAGGCTTTTGCAGTTAGGTGGGCACTCCTAACTTGGAGAAATTTCTTAGAAGGAAGCAAAATAACTTTCCAAGTATGGACCAACCACAAGGACTTGGAAGCACTCAAAAACCCACAGAAAATGTCCCCAAAACTAGTCCAGTGGGCACAGTACTTCCAATGCTTTAATTTCACTTTGAAGTATTTACCTGTTCTGACTTAGGCTTCCTGAGATGGTAAAAAGCACACGATTAGTCCCAAAAACCCTCTTTTTATTTCAACGGCTGTGAATTCTGTTCATTCACAGCCTGTAATGAGTCACAAATAGTTTGTAAAGAGTCTGACAAAAGTCTGCCACAGTCCTTTGGGATAAGGCTGATAAGCACCCACCTTTATCTCCCTTGACATGCTGCCAAAGACTTAATTGGCAATTACCTTTGCAAGGCCACAAGGAGCACAGAGTCAAAATGGAGCTTCAGAATTTAAACCGATCAGAACGAACAAAGTTGCTTCCTGCAAAGGCTCACATGCCTTTGCTCCTCCTTTATGTCTTATGGGAGGGACCAATCATCTCCAAGCCCTACTCCTGAGTCATCCCTTTTGTCTTAACTGTTCTTCCCTTCTGGCAGCTCTGTGCATGCACACACTAGGAACAGGTTCTCCCTGTTCCTCTACCTCACTGATGTCCGACTATGGAGGCTCCGGAGGCAGCACATAACCCCCAGGTGGCCCTGGCCCCCTCTCTGCCTCCGATGCAGAGCCCTCATCTGAGCCTTCCTCAGACTTGAGGACTGGCCCATGTTCCTCCCCAACCTCCTTACTGTCCGACTCTGCTGCCAGATCCGCAGGCCACTGGTGGACCACAGCATTACTGGGAGGAAAATGCAGATGCCTTGTCCAGACTATCGCAATACAACAGTGCAGTGATGGGATTCAGCCAGTTCACACCACTTTGGGAGAACCGGTTGTTAACTTTCTGTGTAGTTTGGCAAACTGGTTGTTGGAAGAAATCATTAGGTTGTTAAAGTACTTGAATCCCACCACTGCAACAGTGGTAAGGCGGAAGTAATTATTATTATTATTATTATTTTTTAAATTTTTATTAATAATAAAAAGAAAAAACAAAACCAACATATATACATAAAATGACATACAAAACTAACAAACATCGATTCAGTCCAATGACTGACTCTTAGAAGTTACTATAACGGTGGGGTATTTTCCATTTTTCGATTTATATCAATGTCTATAATCATCTGTTTACATGGTTATATATATATATATATAATTGATTCCTTATTTACTTCTATACATTTCTATTGATTAGTCATAAACTATCCTTGTATTCCTATTTTTGCCTCCAGCCAGCCGTACCATCTTTGCCATACTAAATAGTAATCAGTGTCATCTTTCTCTTGTATTTCTTTTGTAAGCTTATCTAATTCTGCGCATTCTGTAATTTTAGCTATTATTTTGTCTTCTGTAGGTAACTGTTCAGATTTCCAATGTTGGGCAAAGAGTATACGTGCTGCTGTGAGGATATGAATGATTAGATATTTTATTTCTTTGGTATAATTTGGTGTGATGATTCCCAATAAAAAGGTTTCCGGTCTCATTTCAAGTTTTTGTTTCGTAATTTCCTCAATCATTGCTTTGATTTGTTGCCAGTATTGTTTTGCCCTTCGGCATAGCCACCAGAGATGGTAGTATGTCCCTTTCTGTGATTTACATTTCCAGCACATCGGAGATGTATTTGGGAACATCTTGGCTAGACGCGCCGGTGGGAGGTGCCATCGGTAGAACATTTTGTAAAGGTTTTCTTTGTAGGGTATGGACAGTGTCATCTTATAATTTATCTTCCACAAATTC